TCTAGCGGTGAGTGGCAGTTTCATCCAGCAAGATTTAAAATCATTCCCTTGATTTTTACGCTGTGTGAGACAGAGGAAGCATGCCATATTATGTCATTGTTTCTGCATCTTAAAAATAGGTGTAGTATCTACCTACCTACCTTACAGAGTTTTAAGGATCAAAATAAGATAATGTTAAAGCACCTGTTTAATTGCTAGGCAAATATTTGCTTTCAAATTATTATATAACCACCTAAAATTTCGGGAGAGATCTACTTAATTGCAGTTTACCAGTAGGACTAATTTTCTGTTTATCCATACAATAAGCACTTATTGTCAAACTAGACACTAATATCTTAGTAATTACTGTAGAGAGATTTTTACTCTTCTAGGATAACTGATGCTTTTTTTTATTGCAGTATATGGAGGATCGCAGAAAACAGAAGTGGCAGAGATGTAAAAAAAATAACAAGGCAGAATTGAACTGTTTGGGAATGGAACCAGTACAGGCCTCCAACTCTAGGAATGGAAAAAAGGTAAGTGAGACTGAAGCATTACCACTCTGTTCCCACATTAGATGTGACTGGAGAAATTTAATGGTATTTATCTTTTTTCCAATGTGTCCGAGAAAAGGAAGCCAGAGTAATGTTATTGGTATTTTTATAATTCTGGAGGCATTGTTATCTCCAGAAAAGCATAAAATTCTGAATACTTAATTTCAGCACTTTAAACTTATTAAAATACAAGAATTAGTAAGATGTGTTGAGCATTCAAAGCCTATCCTACTTTTCTACTGACTAAGAGATTTTTCAGCAAATCCTTTAACCTTTTCTTTTTACACAGCATGCCTGAAAAGAGAGAGGTTTAGACCACATAATTTTTTAAAGTTTTATGATTCTATATATTTTAGATGTGGTTTGGGGCCTACTAAGGAAAACAGTCATGGAGTTTGGGTTGAGAATCATTAATAATATGCCAGTAATAGAAAAAGAACAGAAAATCATGTTTTTATAGTTTAGTCATAACAATATTGGTCAGTAGGTTATTATTATTTTCAGGTATATCTGTGTTTTATCATGGTTACAGACCTTCTGGATTAAGTACCCATATCCTTTCCACTAACATAAAACTGAAGAAGTTTCTCTTGGCTGTGTTTTTCTTACTTTGGGTAATAGTTGTTTTGTTTTGTTTTAAATATATTTTTATTGATTTCAAGGAGTAAGGGAGAAGGGGCGAGGGGGAGAGGGACAGAATCATAATTGATGAGAGAGAATCATCAATAGGCTGCCTTCCATATCCCAAGCCTGACTGGGAATCGAACTATGACCTCCCAGTTTGTAGGTTGATAACCACTGAACCATGCTGGCCAGGCAATAGTTGTAGTTTTTAAACAGATATAAATCATGGTTTGGTTTGGTAAGCAGTCATTTATAATGGATTAGCACTTTTGCATATTCACCTTATTTAATCATTATTCATTTGATCGTTTCACATCTTTTTACATGATTTCTCTTAACAAAATTGATTTCTAAATGAACAGTATCTTTTGTATTTAACAAATTCTTAGAATATTATTTTGCATATAATATATTTATGAGGCTTATTTTATTTTGGTGAAAGTGTTGCATATAAATAGTTTCATATAAATATTTTGTTTCATATTAAATAATGTTTCATTTTTCCTCTTAGCCTCCATGGGACCAAGTGGGTAATAGGCAGAATAGTTGATATGGGAGGCTGATGGCTAAAGGCAGGTAACTTCTCTGTCTTGATCATTGTAGAGCAGCCTGTAAAAAAAAAAAATATATATATATATATATATATATATATATATATATATATATATATACACATATATATGTATATATATGTATATATATATATACACATACACACACACACACACACACACACACACACACACCTTTCTTCCTTTAGTTCTAAAAAGTGTTACTTCAACTACTTTTGCTACTTCATTATAGTCCATTTATAACTCTTTAAGAAAGAAAGGATCATAGGAAATCACAGAAAATCAGGACTAGTACAGAATTCTTATATAGAATTGATCACTGTGTCTAGCACTACATATTTTATTATTGGAGATTTAAGTGCTATTATAATATTTTAAAACTTTGCAAATAGAGTTTTGAAATGTTTGTTAGATAGAAAGGTATATTTTCATGTGAGATGGTAGGCTTAGATTGGGTAATGTCCAGAGACACAGATAACCATTGTCTGAATTCAGTGACTGTTTACCCAGTGTTATACATATGTCTAGCAAAGCAGAGGCATTAAAAGTAATAATTTCCAGCACCAGTGAACTTAAACCAAAATTTATATTCAGAACATCTAGAAGAAGCAATTTAAAATTCAGCAGATATCTAAGTTTTTATCATTGTGAAAAACGTATTACATTTGGTGAGGAGCTAGCCACAATCTTTTTGGTGTTCTAGATATCCAAAAGTGTAACCTGAACTCTTTGGTTTACCCACTCTGAACTGATAATGAAGGATAGTATTGTAAATATCAGTACAATTGTGAGGCACTTCACATGGTAAGGTCATGTGAACAAACTGCTATTAGTAAAGTATACTCTACAAATATTGATTCGGTGTCTTACTCAGACACCTCATTAACAAAGATAAGTATTTGTGTAGTAGTTGGCCAGAATAAAAGTACAATGTACTCATTGGGGGGAAAAAGCAAAACTCTCGACATGAACATCAGTATGAAATCCTTGATCTTAGCATCGGAATGCTTCAACCGATTACTTCCAGCATTTGCTCCTAGAACTCTGTTTACTTTTGTTTCATTTTTTTCCCCTTCTTTTTACTCTTTTTTTGGTTGTTGTTCTTCCTCGCAGAGTCACCATGCTGAAACTGTATTCAATCGGGTTTTGCCAGCACCTATTGCACCAGACAACAGTAAGAAGCGAGCCCGCAGGATGCGACCAGACCTTTCTAAGATGATGGCCCTGATGCAGGGTGGAGGCACTGGTTCCCTGTCTCTGCACAATACCTTCCAGCACAGCAGTAGTGGTCTACAGTCCGTGTCATCTCTGGGTCATAGCAGTGCTGCTTCTGCATCTTTGCCTTTTATGCCGTTTGTGATGGGTGGTGCAACATCATCCCCTCATGTAGACTCCAGCACCATGCTTCATCACCACCACCACCACCCCCACCCCCACCCCCACCCCCATCCCCATCCCCACCATCATCACCATCACCATCCAGGCCTGAGAGCCACTGGTTATCCTTCTTCACCAGCCTCTACCACCTCTGGTACTGCCTTGAGGTTGCCATCGCTGCAACCTGAGGACAATGAGGACGATGAGGATGAAGATGATGATGATGATTTATCTCAGGGCTATGATAGCTCAGAAAGGGACTTCTCACTCATTGATGATCCTATGATGCCAGCCAACTCAGACTCCAGTGAAGATGCGGATGACTGAAGCCTCAGCTTGGTCCCCATTGCTTGGGTGGCTGCTGTATTTTCATTTACTCTGGCCCTTGGACTATGGAAAAGTGGGAGGGGCAGGGGAGATGTGGGGAAACCCAAGACTCCCACTCAAGGAGGTGAAAGGAAAAAAAAACTTATACCTAATTGCTTCCAAATTTGAGCGGATTGGGTGGGCAGGGGAACTCCTTAAATAATACACGATCACTTCCTCATTTCTGGGGAAGGAAAGGAGACTAGAGCAGCTGAGGTGCTCACCCCTCCCTAGAAACCTCCATTAACCACAGACTATGTAGCGCTGGCCCTAGCCTCTGGCAGAGCCTGTTCCTGGCTGAACTGTGGATACAGCGGGAGGGTCAGGAACTGTTACCTTCCTTCCCTTGGCATTAATAAATTTAAGTTAATCCTTCCCCACTCTTCCCTTGTTCTACATCTGCTCAAATCCTATATAAATATTAATTTTAAGTATTGCTGTTCATGCTGGGTGATTTCAACACCACTTTCCGAAAGTCCATTACTGTTCATGCTAAGTTAACTTGCATAGGGCAGTCATTTGTACTCCATTAAAGGTTATATGTATGTGTAGGCTGTCCAGTTTGCTAAAAGCAAGGGAATTAAGCTAAATAAGAGGTAAAGCTTTCCAGATTCAAACTCCCAAATTCTGAGAAGAGATAGAAGAATTTCAGCAAGAATCACAGAACTTTTGTTTCAAATTAAGTAACTGCTTTAGGGAGGCCTGAAGTGGTGTCACTGAACTGTTGCAAGGAGACTGGCAAGAGAATGTCAGGACTTTGGGATTGAGTTCTCCTAAACCATTTGTTTCTTACAACACTTCCCCTACCATTCCAGCGCCCAGATGAAGCCTGGGCATTTTTCCCTCCCCTTTCTGCCCTTACCCCATAACTTGTGTGGTAGTTTCATTGGGAGGATGGGCTCCTTCTCCCAGACTTGAGCTCTCCTTGTCTTCTTGGAGACCCTGACATCGAAGATTTTTCCAGCCCTGGAGCAGCAGAGGCTTTTGCTTCCCCACCATTTCTAGGAGCGGAACGTACGGCTCCCACGCCAGATCCCGCTCTTTCTGCTTCCCCTTTGACAATGGGTGGGGCCAACCACCCGCGCGCGGCAGCTCGTGAGGGGCGGGGCCAGCGCGGCAGCCTCCACCCCCTTAGCTGGCCGCCGCCTCCGCCTCTTTGGCGAGAGCTCGGAGCCCCTGGGAACCGCGGCCCCGCGGAGAGTGAGGGCGGAGGCAGAGCGTCACGTGATGACGTCGACTGGCGTGCGGTTACTAAGTTAACAAGGAAACCCCGCGAAAACCTAGACTTTGCACAATTTGTTGGTTTCCCCATTCTTCCTTCTTCCCATTCGCCTCCCGAGGGAGGATTTTTTTTTTTTTTAATAAAAGCAAAACTCAGCGCTGTCGGGACCCGGAAGCGGAAAGGGCATCTTTGAGGTCGATACTTCCGGGTCACTGGGAGAGTGCGGGATTCCGGGGCCGAGAGCGGGTGGTGGAGCCGGGACCTCGCGTGAATCTCGGGACCCGAGGAGGAGCGGCGTCTGTGGCTATGGCTGTGACTCTGGATAAAGATGCTTATTACCGGCGAGTGAAGAGACTGTACAGCAATTGGCGGGTGAGACAGATCCCGTAATTTTCCCTAGGGAGCCCCTCTTCTACATCCCATAATAACCCCGCTTCTCGGCGCCCTTTTTTCCCTTTCCTTCGAGAAATCCCGGTTTCAGTGTCGCGCCCCTTTAGTAGCTCCAGGAGCTTTCACCTCAGGCGGCCACGAGCGCCGCCCGGTAACAGGGAATCCCCCGCAGTCAGCCTGCGGCCACCACCATCTTCTCCGCGTGCCGGCCCGGGTCATGCCTAACAGCCACCTCTCGTAGTTTCTTCCCGCCCTGGGAGAGGCTTGCATCATCATTCCCTCCCACTCCGTGAGCACGCCTGGCCGCCCCCTCCTGCGGTGCTCACACACCCACGCACTCGCTCTGTCCCTCCCGAGCCAGAGTCTCCCCCCAGGTCCCGCCAGAATCACTACAGCCTTCGGCAAGGATGGACGGAGGGGCTAGGAGGATGTGACTCGGGCTCTTCGCGTTTTATTATTTGCGGGCCTTTTGCTACAGTTAAACAAATACTGTTTACCTGCAACCGCCTCGTGTTCTAGGCCCTGCCGCGGGTAACTGAAAACCTGCAGGCATTAGTAATACAAAAAAACGAAGTGATGCATGAAACCTGATTGGTTTTCCTCCTTGGAATTGTGTCCAGGGCGCGTTTACATAAAAAGAGCTGTTGCAATTCCCAGTCTTTTAAAGATTGGGCAGTTTTGTTGCTTGAAAAGCGTTCACTGTTAAAATTTATTCTTATGAAAGTAACTTGTCAATTCAAACATTTGGTTGCATCCAGTGGTGCAGCCTGGGCTGTCCAGATGAAGTATGGCCTCTGAACTCTGTCATCCAGGGAAGATAAGCTAATAAAGACTTTAAAACCTGAAAAACGTCCTGGCAAAACATGTTCGGTTCTGATTTCAGCATTCTAAGTTGTCTTCCAAATTGATCTACTAAAAACCAAACTGTTAAAGCGGACCGTTTCCCTGCCATTCACATTAAAGGTTCCTGTGCATGTTTCTTCTTTTGAGGAGAAATGCATTAGGTAATTAAAATTAAAATAAAATTAGATAATTTTCATAAGTTACACTTTATGAAAAGCAAAAATAAGGACTCTATGCTAGACAAATCCTAAACATAAAATTTATTTTTTAAAAATTTTGTTAGGTTTTAACAAATGTCACATTTTAAAGCTTGAACATGATACATGTTAGAAAAACTCTAAAGGTCCCAATATCTTTTAAAGATTAGTACGTGCTAATGTGCTGGTAATCAAAAGCCCTCTCTTCTCCCCATAGACCTCACAGTCATACCTTTGGTGTGGAGGTTGTTTCTAGTCTGGGTAATTGAGAGTTTATCAAATTATTCATTCTCTTGAAGCCATTCATGAAAACAGATCAATTTAGAGCTCACCATTTCCCTATGTGATAATAAAATGCAAAGCATTAAACTAGGAAAAACTTGGGCCTAAAGACAAATTGGCAAATTTAATTTCAAGTGACAGTCTTTAAATCCATGGAAGTTCATTTGTTGGCCCCCATTTTTTGTTTCTCAAAAATAATTAAAATTTATGTTGGCCCACCCATTTAATTAACAGCATCATTTGAAAGGAGGGTTGTTAGATGTTGATAAGACCCTGGCATTATAAAGTTGCCAAGTCATAAAAATTATTCATTATTACATTTTTTTTGCTTATTATAAAATCTTATTCAAATTGATTTTTATAATTAGAATTTAATAACTATGCTCAGAACCTACCTGTAAAATTTCTGTATGCACAGTCTTTCTAGTAGAATGCTTTCATTCTGATCTGCTTAAGCAGAGATCATTGTTTTTGGGATAATTTCTGGTTGTTTATTCTCTTGCTATCCAGAAAGAGTGAAATATGTAGGTGCATGCTATATTGGGTTTGTTTGCACTTTTTCCTTTAAGAAAACTGACATTGAAATAAGAGAAGAATTTAAAGTTAACTATATAACTCCCAAGTCTGTGTCAGCTCCCATCTTCAAACCTCTATTATGACAAAAACTAGAGGCCCAGTGCATGAAATTCATGCACAGGTAGGGTTTCTAGGCCTGGCTGGCGATCAAGGCCAATTTGGGCCCAAAGGCGTCAGGAGAGGAGGCAATGGTTACTGGGCCAGGCATGGAAGGAATGGACGCCAGATCCTGACCTGCCACCATGTGGCTGCCATCATGGCAGGTGGGCTGATCAAGGTCTGCCAGCCAGGGGGAAGGACAGGGCATGGGAAGTTGGCTGCTGGCCTGATGAGGGAGCTGGTCCTTGCTCCCTCTCCCCCCCCACCCCCTTTAGGAAAGAAGCTGCATCTGCTGCCACTCACACCCAGTTTCCTGTTTCAGGCAGGGCTTGGCCCCAATCTGGTGATCGGGGCCTGCCAGCTGTGGGGGCCCGCTTGAGGTTGGCTGGCCTGAGGAGGTTGCCTATGGGCTCGCACTGACCACCAGGGAGGCAGCTCCTGTGTTGAGCATCTGCTCCCCGGTAGTCAGTGTGTATTATAGCAACTGATCATTTGGTTGTAACCGTCACTTAGGCTTTTTTATATATATATATATATATATATATATAGATAACTAAGAAGTTAGCTTCAACCGAAGCCGGTTTGGCTCAGTGGTAGAGCGTCAGTCTGCAGACTGAAAGGTCCCAGGTTCAATTCTGGTCAAGGGCATGTACATTGGTTCCGGGTACATCCCCAGTAGGGGGCAGCTGGTCGATGTTACTCTCTCATCGACATTTCTAGCTCTCTATCCCTTTCTCTTCCTCTCTGTAAAAAATCAATAAAATACATTTTAAAAAAAGAAAAAAAGAAGTTAGCTTCACTTTTATATCCACTTTTTAATCTTTTTAAGCATAAGCCTTTCAGAACTGTGTGGTTGCACAAGCTAACACAAGGTAGATCAAACTCTTCAACTACATAGAATTGTAGAAAACCAGAAAGCTATGACTGCCCCCTCTCCTTAAAAAAAAAAAAAAAAAAAAAATGAGTGGGACCTAATGTGGCTCCTAATCGCACCTATTGCAAGTTGAGTTTGGGTTAGATATATATTGTGGAACTACTGCAAATAAGTTTGTTTTTTTGTTTGTTTGTTTTTTTTAGAGGGAGTGGAAGGGAGAGGGAGAGACAGAAACATCAATGTGACAGAGACACATCAATTGGTTGCCTCCCTCACAGGGGCTGAGCCTGCAACTGGGAATATGTGCCCTTGACTGGACTCGAACCTGGGACCCTTCGGTCTGCAGGCCAACACTATCCACTGACCCAACCCAGCTAGGGCAAGAAATAATTTTATTTTTTTAATTAATTTATTTTTTTTAATATATTTTATTGATTTTTTACAGAGAGGAAGAGAGAAGGATAGAGAGCTAGAAACATCGATGAGAGAGAAACATCGACCAGCTGCCTCTTGCACACCCCCTACCGGGGACATGCCTGCAACCAATGTACATGCCCTTGACCAGAATCGAACCTGGGACCTTTCAGTCCATAGGCCGACGCTCTATCCACTGAGCCAACTGGTTTCAACAAGATATATTTCTTACTTACAGATTTCATAAACTTATGTCCTAAAAACAGTTGCAGTACCACACACTTTTAATTGAATATTTTTAAAATATTAAATCTCCTACCTGAGAAAATAGGTTCTGCCAAAAATCAAACTGGAGACCTCCATAGTGACTAGAACTAGTTTTATGACTCTGGGATGTTTGAGTCTAGTCCAGTCTGTCTCTTATTTTAAATCTAGAGACCTGGTGTATGAATCGTGCACTGGTGGGGTCCCTTAGCGTGGCCTGTGGGGATTGTGCCGAAACTGGCAGTCTAATGCTGCCTGCGGCTCCCACTCATGCCCGTCCTGCTGCACCTGCTGTGGGCTCTTGCCCAGTCAGTCCTGATTGGAGAGTCTCACACCTCCACAGTGGCACTCACCACCGTGAGCCCTGTGTCTGACAACCACGGGGGTAGAGGGGCGGGGGGGACACACCAATCAGCCCTCTGGGCAAGCGATGGGATGCCCTTGTCAGCCTGGGTTCCAGATCTGTCTCACTGATGTTCACACCGGTTGTCAGAGCCTCCAGGTGGCTACTTTTATATCGTTTCTTGTAGAGCGTCTAGGGAGGGGAAGTGGCCAAGATGCCCAAGGCTGACTTCCAGGAGGCTAGCAGTGATGTTGGGATTGTGCTGGTGGCACTGGTCTGTCAGTGCCTGGCTCGTTCTCCAGAGATTGGACTTGCAGGTCTACTGAGGGAGTTAGTGAGCTGGTGGGCCAGTCAACTAAGCAACACTCCAGCTATGGGAGCTCACTGACCACCAGGGGGCAGCTCCTGTGTTGACTGTCTTTCCCCTGGTGGTCAGTGCACATCATAACTACTGGCCAGTCGTCCGATCCAGTGGTCCTTAGGCTTTTATATATATATATTTATATACACACACACACACATATATATATTAGACCTACTACAAACAGAAAAGCTTTCCAGCACCTTTGTATTTTTGCAATAGGAAACTTCAGGTGTTAGTGGTAGGTCATGAGAGAGGCGGTGGTCTTCTCCTCTGTCCTCCTATACTTACTAGGTCCTTATTCAGGGCTTCCCAATCTTTTAATGATTGTGATTATTTTTAACCAAGTAATGGGATTAGTACCGTATGTGATACAAGAAGGGAGGTTCCCATCATTCTGGGGACTTGGCCTCTTTGAGAACTGAGGGATACAGTATCCAGGCACAACTATAATTCATTTGAGACCTGCTTATTATGACATCCTGGACTTGAGTCTATCTGCCTTTTATCCCAAAAGAATTCCGTAAAATATCAAAATTGCAGCTGTTTTTCTTTTTGAACATATTTTTATTTGAGAGGGAGAGGGAGGGAAGAAAGAAATATTGATGTGAGAAAAATCAATCAGCTGCCTATTGATGATCAAGCCTTCAACCCAGGCATGTTCCCTTACCAGGAATCAAACAGGAGACCTTTTGGTTCATGGAATTAGGGACACTTAACCAACTGAAC